AACAACGACGGCGAAATGGGCGCCACACCAGTAGTCGTTAACAACGACAACAATAGCAATGGCGGGGACGTCACAGAGTCACCCGATCAACGCGATGACCTTTTGCTGGAAGAAATCGCACAAGCTATGAATGACGCGGAAAAATCCGCCCCAAAAATTGCTGAACAATTAGCAAAAATCATCAACTCTCGCTGGCTAAACAAGCTGAGTGATGAAAGCCTTCGTGGGAAACTTGATACCCATTTGCGTCCGGTTAACTGTGACCAACTCATTACTCCGAAGGTCAACCCAGAAATCTGGGGGCGTCTCGACAAAGAAACAAGAAGCAAAGATCTAAAGCTGTCATACTTGCAAACTAACCTAGCAGCGGTTGGTAATATTCTCTCGCAAGCAACAGATATGTTGTTGACAGCTCGTGCGGAAAACAGCGAAGTCCACATCGAAAACCTTATTCGCAAGAATATGGACGCCATTGCTATTATGGGCCACATTAGTTATGATTTGGCTCAACGAAGACGTGATGTTATTCGTCCAACACTCAATAAGGAGTATGTTACACTGTGTGCTTCCCATGTGCCTGTTACCACTTTGCTTTTCGGGGACGAATTGCAAACACAACTGAACCACATACGGGCATCGAATGAAATAAAAAATACGGCAAGTGGTTCCCAATATTATCCACCAAGGCGCCATTTCTCGCCTCAACAGGCACCAGCCAGATCTGGTCAAAAAAACCCTTTTTTATGGAAACAGCCGCCTCAGGGCGGCAAACCCCAATACAGGAGAAAGTACAAACAATATCGGTCCAATCAACCGGGGAATCAGGAAAATCAATGAGCAACATTTTGACCGAATTGCAGGTAAGCTCATACAATACACTCCTACCTTCCTTGCTAGTTTATCTTGAAAATAAAGTAAAAATGTTTAAAGCGGGAAACTTAGCTGCCTATGTTAAAGAATGGCAAGTTTTAACGTCGGATCCAGAAATAATGGAGATACTGACTGGTCAGAGAATTGAATTCTCTGAAATTCCTGTACAGTGGAAAACTTCGATGAATGTAAAATTCACAGATGCACAAACCAAACTGGTAGACCATGAAATTGGAAAACTCCTTAACAAGGGTGTTATTGTGTCATGCACACGCGAAGAGGGAAATTTTGTCTCTCCAATTTTTACCCGTCCAAAAATGGACGGCACTCTTCGAATGATCTCGAATTTAAAATCACCTAACAAGTTTATTACCTATTACCATTTTAAAATAGAGACTGTCTGGTCTGCAATAAGGTCAATGACCCCTGGATGCTATATGGCTTCCATAGATTTAAAAGATGCCAATCCATGCACCCAGAGAAGTCTACTTATTCCTACACAACGAATTGTGTTTTTAGGCTTTGTCCTTGACTCCTTAAAGATGTGTATGTCATTGACGCCTGAAAGGGCTCAAAAAATTAATCGAGGCTTGCCAAAAAATGGCTTCAAAATGCTTGTCCCACCATCCGAGAGGTAGTCCAGGTGCTTGGAATTATGACTTCTAGCTTCCCAGGGGTAATGTTTGGCCCACTCCACTATAGATCTCTGGACATGGACAAAACAAATACTTGAAATATAAGAAAGTTTCCTCGAAAGCATTAACAGGCGGTATATTTTTGATAATCGACTATAAACCTCTATTTCTATTTTGTGCTATAAACGCGTCAACGCGAGCTACAGGCGGCCCAATCTCGCAAGGGTCAGTATAGACTTTATATAGTATGAATGTATATTATATTAATGTATATTATAGTAAAAATATGTCGTAAAATATAAATTTTAAAATGAAATTGACTTGCCTATTTGATAGTGTGTGTTCTCCTTTTATTCCTCCTTTGTTGGACTAATATTTTCCAAGACTTTGTACTCGATGTTACTAGTATACATGAAACATGATAAAGGCTAACGATTCCCGATCGTCGATACGACCGCACGGCACTTCGAATCGAAAATTTTCACACTCAAATCGCTTTATTCTCCAAACAAATTCGCCAGCATGTACAACAAATGCCGTTCTTCGAAAATACAGAGGTACTTCGGCGAGATATACAAGTTTTGGACCATATTTTAACAATGGAAATCAAAACCCATTTTATATTGAACTTACCCGGACCGAAAATTACTACGGCGAACGTCTGCGCAACCAGGCCTCCTTTACCGTTGGATTTACAGGGGAGAGCAGATATTTCCGGTAACAGCCAGCCAATCGCGGCCGCGTAGCGACTGTTTACATTATTTGAAATTTGATATTCAAAATAAAAACTCCTTCGATCGGATACTGTATAAAACTCGAGATGTTGTCGAAGAAAATAAAATTAAACGACGGAGATTGAAGAAATTTAAGGAAGAAGTAATATACAGCGGCTCTTGGTTGGAAAGTATGGTAGAAGTACCTCTGTATTTTCGAAGAACGGCATTTGTTGTACATGCTGGCGAAATTGTTTGGAAAATAAAGCGATTTGAGTGTGAAAATTTTCGATTCGAAGTGCTGTGCCGTCGTATCGACGATCGGGAATCGTTAGCCTTTATCATGTTTCATGTATACTAGTAACATCGAGTACAAAGTCTTGGAAAATATTAGTCCAACAAAGGAGGAATAAAAGGAGAACACACACTATCAAATAGGCAAGTCAATTTCATTTTAAAATTTATATTTACGACATATTTTTACTATTATATACATTAATATAATATACATTCATACTATATAAAGTCTATACTGACCCTTGCGACATTGGGCCGCCTGTGCGCGAGCAAAATTATTGTTGACATTTGAGTTACATAATTACTTCCGTTAACGAGATTAACCAATGGAAAACTTTTCCGAAGATTCTTCGGAAAAGAACAAATTAATCATAGGCATTTGGGCAGGCGTTTATTTAACGACGCCCTTTCTTCTCCCGCCCGAACTAAACGCCTGCTACGCAGGGTAGTCTGGCCGAGCCTCCCCAACTTCATTTCAATCTTCCCATCACACCGCGCGCTCACTTTTATTCAGGAAACTTATGTAAGTTATTTGTAAACACTTAAGGAGGCTCTGCGGAGAAGAGAGACCTTTTTACATGTTTAACCACGATATTTAACTAAAGCATTCTGAGTTAAATCGTTTCAAGAAATCGACAGGCGCTAACAGTAGAAGTTTCGCTAATCGCCATTCGAAAAGCAAAAAATGTATGGTCAAGCAGATTTTTAGGTTGGACTTTTGCATGCAGTGAACACCACTAGGTGGGGTCCTGTGCCCTCGCCCCCATGACAGATCAGCCCTTGGGGTGAAATATGAAAAGCACTACCTGTCTGAATGTCTGCTGTTGTCTCTGATACTGCGAAAGAACGTCTTGAAATCCCTGACTGAAGACTCTGTAATTTAAAAATCAAAATAGTATAAAACGTTCGGTGCATGAATGAGCACCTAAACTTTCAGCTCAATTGGTTAGAGCACTGTACCCGGAATTGCAAGGCCGCAAGTTTGATTTCTGCCAGAGGACTTGTACTCTTAATAGTTCCATTTTTGACTCCCGGGTGAGTGTGGGGCAGTTAAACAATGGGAAATGACCAGTCTGCTTTGCGCGCACAGTTTGCCTGCGAATCGGGCCTTTCAGAACCGGAAATCGGGCTGGAGCACGCGTTCGTTCTTCTGATTTGGCAAACGAAGCA